ACTTTTTTGCTTCGGAGGGAAATGAGTGTGAGTTTCCCTAGAGAATTCTGTCCACCCACAATGCTGCCCAAGCCCTCCCTTTAAGAGGCCTGGGTCACTTCTACCCCCAGGTCCTGGCAGTCTTTTGTGCATTACAAACCCACAGGCGAGCAGACAAATGTTGCAGAGGCTGGACTTCGGCGGGCAACTGGGACCTTAAACTGCCCTCTGTAGCAGCTCTATCACGAGCTGGTGCAGGGAACCAGGGTAAATATCTTCTCCTTTGGTTCAAACTCTGACCCCACTTTGCAAGCCAGTCATCTCGCTGAAGGAGGGGTGAGAGAATTTGGGAGCAGTCCCTGGGCCCCTGGACCTGAGATCCCTACCAACCCAGGAATATAAAAGCCCTGAAAAATGCTGGGCTTGGTTTTCCCTGAACGATAGCTTCAGACTTGTCTCCTCACACCAGCCACGGCCACTGAATCACCGGGCAGGAGCACAACCTGGAGACTCATTGGAATCTGCCTTCCTCCCCACACCTTGAGAAGAGGAAAGGGTGCCAGCGAGCCCGGGGAATTGATCGCGCTGGGAGAGAGCCAAGAAGGTGGGCCGGTGGGTACATGCAAAAGGGACCATTTTTCTTTGGGGGAACACCCAGGCTGAATGTTGTGGGGTCGCCCTAGCCAGGGCAGGCCTGCCCAAGGTCAGAGGTCAGCTGTATCCTGCTTCCAAAGCCAGCAACTTCAGTCACCAAGCCGTCAAGGCTGCTGCACACGGATTAACCCGCAGGCCCGCCGGCAAGGGCATGCCCGCCTCCAGGCCACGGCCCAGGCGGGTGTGGAGCAGAGGCCCTGCAGGCTGCTTGGAGTTCCCAAGCTAAAGCCCAAACTACTCCTGGCCTCTGCCGGTGGCCTGCTGTTGCCAGCTACCCCCGGTAGCTCCCTGGCTCCCCTCCGTCAGGCCCTCAAGCACCAGGATGTTGAGCTGCGAGCTGGGTTGTGCCCTGGCCTTTTCTCATTCTTCTGTTCCCTTGAGGGAAGAGCTGGGTTCCCCCAGATGCGGCTGAAGGCTGGGTGACCTCCGTGTGCCCAGAGCAGGGTCTGTGTTAGTGGGTGGGTCTCCTGAAGGACCAGCCTGGACATTTAACCCTCCCTTTAAACCACACACTCCCCAACCTCCCAGCAGCTAGATAGAGGAAGGGAAGGTGGTGCCTCTTCTGTGTCCCTCAGAGGCCAAGTAGTCGGAATGTAGGGAGAAATATGACCTTGGAATCCAAAGGGAATTTCCTGCAGACGGTGCAGGCCAAGGGGCAGCCCTCGAACGCCCCTTCTCCATTCCTCAGACCTCACTGGCTCCCAGCTGTCCCCATGGACCATTCATCAACCCCAACCTTTGCGGTTAAGCCTTTGAGGCAGTCCTAGCTTTCCTTCACAGCCTGACTCTGTTCCTGCCTCACTGCCCCCTAATTTCCAGTGCCCCTGGTTGTCTAGGGTAGTGCCCAGAACCCTCGGCGACTGCGGCCTGCTCCCGGAGAGCTAGTCGTAGCCCTCATTCTCATCCGGGAGAAAGGAAACCAAGTCCCGAACCCGCGGCCGGCCGCGCGCAGAGAGCAGATCCCAGCGGTCAGCTGCCTGAGGCAGGACCAGGATGCGCCAGGGCGAGAACCGGCCCGCGGCTGACCCAGCCAGCATCCGCCGTCAGGTTAGGGTGGAGAAGTTCCATCATCTTGAGGCCGGCCGGCTAACTTGGCTCCTTTGGCCCTCGGGAGGGGAAGCCGAGTCCCTCTCTGCCATCCTTGTGGGGGCAGGGAGCCTGTAAGGGACCCCTCCGGGCTCGGGCTCCGCTCACTCGGCGCGAGGGAAGCTCTGGGCCACGACTCCCCTTCTTGTGCCCTCGGTGAGACACCCAGGCAATTTACAAGGAAGGGTGAGAAGGCGGGAGGGCAAGAAGTTACTCTTGGTCCCTGTGCCATTGGGAGGCCCATTCGTCCCCCTAGTCCCCCCCTCCTGGGAAGAAGGGATGGACTCATGCCGCTGGGCGGAAGGGCCCCCTCCTCCCCTCAAAGTCAGTGGGGTGGGGCCTATACCCACGGTTGGGGGGCTAATGGGGGAGGGGATGGGGGAGAAAGTCTAGCTGGGCTTCTTCTCCCAGTGGGGTTTGGGTGCCAATGGCCCCGATAAAGGCGCTTGCTACCCGGCTGCCGGGGGTCCAGGTCCCGTCTGCCTGCCCCCTGGACTCACGCACTTACCCCGCTCCACCTGTTGCCGGGATCGCCTCATTTCTGCACATCACTTTGGGGTGGCTGAGGGGGGACCACAAACCCCTCCAAGCCTCTCTTTTGTGGTTCCAGCGAGGCGGTCATCCTTCATTTCTCCTTTTCCAGCTTTCGGGAAGCAGTTAGGGAATGTATGATGAAGCAGAAATGAGCCGTCAGGATGATATTTTAATGGCTTATATGTCACGTTGGTGCATGTGGCTTTGAACTGGAGCCGCTTGCATTTCCTGCAGAGAGCGCCGCAAATCCCACTTGATAACTTCTACAACCCACAACTTTTTTTTTTTTTTTCTCACATTCACTCTTACCCTGTATATTTGGACGCGTTTCCTAAAAATACCCTCTTGTCAACGTCCCCCTTGGATTTTCCACGGACTGGAGAGGAGAAGACTGACTTTTCTTTTTTGAAGAATTTTTTTCCCCTCTCCCCCGCCCAACGGCTACCCTCCCCCCGCAGGTCCCTCCCTTGTTTTTTTGAAAGGCAGGCGAGGTGGGTTCGATATTTGTTCTCCCTAGTGAGAGTAGTACAGCCTCCAGAGCAAACTTCTCCTCGCAGATCAGGTTTTTACAACTGCAGTGGAGGCAGGATCCAACTTTCCCTTGTATGCGGCAGACAAGATTCTGAGTGGCGCGGATATGTCTTTTTTGAACAAAGTGTATAATAGGTTTTTGAAAACCCCCCCCTCAAGCCCCAGCCCTTACCCTTCATCCCCATCCTGATTTCACTCAAAGTTGGCGGGTAAGGCTGGGCTGCTCCACTCAGACTTGTTGCTGGGGACAGAACATTTGATGTTTTTTCTTTCTCAAATTTCTATTTCCCAGTACAACAAGCGCAAATTCTCGGCCAGGTCCCTTCAGATACCGGGAAACCATCCCAGATACACAAGCCGAGTTCTGAGCTGGGGAGAGCCCAGGGAAACGGCAGCTCAGCTCGCCAACCCCAAGCGAGAATTTAGCCGACGAAAAGACCAGAAAACCAGAAAGGCGAGGAGCGGCCGCCGCTGACCCTGCCTTCCTCCAGCCTGTGCAGCCGGCGCGGGCGACCGGGCAAAAAAATATTCATTTTCATTTTCCTCTCTCCCGGGCACTGGTGAGTTTCCTAACGGGGCCGCCTGTGAAAGGATGAGTTGAGGTTTCTTTGTCTGAGAAAAGAGTTTAGGGCTCTGATTCAGCTGCAAGGAAGCCAAATGAAGTTAGAAACAAAGGGCAAATTGAAAGATTCCGACTCTTGGCTTTTTGTGTTTTCCTTACTAGAAAATAATTAGACCTAATGAATATGCAGACGCTTCAGCTAAACCCTCGGCCCCGGGCTTCTGGGTTTTAAACAGAGCTGCGGAGAAATGCAACCTTCATTCCCCAAGCCCCCCTCCCCCGCATCCGAGTGCATTTTTTGAAATGCATAAATGTTGCTTGCCTTAATTGATTGAGTCACAGGGATTTTTTTCCTGCTTTTAAGTGCCATACTCCTCTACCTTTCAACAATCATTTTAATATATAGTCAATGGCTCTTTGTGGACGGGACAAAAAGCAACTACGCGCAGTTGTTGAATAGACTTTGCGCTGGGCAAAGACAGGTTAATGGAGGGCCGCATCGCGAAAACAAGCGAGTGTTGTATGTTTGCACTGAATCCAAATGTCTGCATTTTCCTAACTAAATCAAAGGGAGTGTTATTTCTTTTTCTGCTCACTCATCTGAAGGTAAGTAAATTTTCTCTGGCGATCAAAAGCCTGGTCGGCAACAAAGACCGCGCCCGCTTTTTCCACCGTCCTGGTGTGGCGAGTTGCGGAATTTCAATGACGGTGACAAGGGTGACTGATTTGTGAACTAGAAAAGGTTTGAATGTCACAAAATTTACATTGGTCCTATCTTTCGGGGATTTAAATACCAAAAAAGTATTCGGGGATTTCTAGGGAGCTTTGGGCAGTCCTGAGGAACAATGGCGCGTTGGGAAATTTACAGTTTTACCTGAATGAAAGGGGCCCGGGTTGGGAACAGGAGTGCAGAGGAAGGGGGTTAGCGGGGGCAGATGAGGGAGGGGGACTAGGGAAAAGAGAAAAAAGAGAAGAATAACACGGGAGAGGAAAAAAGAAAAATCGGCAACAGTGTTTCCAATTTGCCATTAAAAAAACAAACCTCAATAACCTAGGAAGTTAAGAGCTCTCATCCGTCTGTGCCCATTTGGGAGGGGAGAGCAGGAAGCATGATTGATTTGTTAAAAGTGAGAAAATCGAGGCAACCGGTTATCCTGAGAAATCACATTTCTTGTAAAGAGAGATTGGCGTGCCCGTGTGCTCCCAAGATCCTAAATTATAAACAGGAGGACAAGGCAAGAGGGAAGCAAACTTCAAAAGGAGCAAATAACAAAAGCCTCCTTTGCTGCCCTGGAAAGGGGGGAGATGGGGGAAGAAAGAAAAGAAAGTTGCTGAATCGGGACATTCTGGAAGTGCCTTAGCTGTATTTGCCAGCCCCATCCCCGCCTCCTGCTCTCGGAGCTGCCCGAAGTCGCTAAATGCTCAGCTAAGAGCAGGTCTGAAGAAGTACAAGATAGAGAAAGAGACAGAGACAGAGATGGAGACAGAGACAGAGACGGAGACAGAGATAAAGATAGAGATAGAGATGGAAACAGAGACGGAGGTGGAGGTGGAAGTGGAGGTGGACAGGGAGAGGAGAGGCAGAGGGAGATGGGATGGAGAGAGAGAAGGATAAGGAGCGGGATGAGAGAGGGAGAATGTATACGACTGTGAGAAGGAAAAGAAATCGTGGCAAAACATTTTTTCCATGAGAAGAGGGAAAAAATTTGGCTAAAAAAAAAAAAAGTTGCTACTCCTGGCAGCCCTGTTTGTCAAAAGGGGATGTCAAGCGCTTTACAATACCTGGGATTGATGAGGCGGGCGGGCCAATGAGCGGCGCGCGGCGCCTCGGCGCGCCCTCCGTTGGCGCGGCGGCTGCCGGCGGGGGGAGTGCGGGTACACCAATGGGCGCCCGCGTCAGCAGCACGTGACGCCTCCCCCTGCTCCCATTCATCAAGGGGGGGACGGTGTCGTCCTTTCAATTCATTTATCTGCAGGAATGATTGCTGCTATCAGTCTCGCGCTCACCGCCCGGCTGAGGAGGTGAAAGTTTCTCCCCAGGAAGATAAACCGCAAAAGACAATATTGTGCATGATTTGCGCCTTTTCTTTGGCTTTTTCTTTCTTTCTTTTTTTCTTCCCCCCCCTTTTTTTTTTTTTTTTTTTTTTGCAAAAAGCAGAGGGGGGAAAAAGGAGACTGAAGGAGCGAGGAGGCGAGCCTGAGAGAAAGGAGAGAGAGAGAAAAGAAAGGGCGAGGGGCTAGTGGAGAAGTGAGGAGGGGCGTACGGCGCGAGGCGGAGAGAGGGCGAGCAGTCGCGGCTCCGGCGCTCACATTCCTCTATGCTACAAATCCGGGAGGAAGTTTTTCTGGGGGGCTGAGATGCTCCATGCCTTTCCCTGGGCAGTCCTGACGCGGAGTCCTCTCGGCAGAGACTGAGCGGCGAGGAAGTGCGAGCCGGGCCGGCGGGGTCTGCTGGGCTGGCGCCGGAGCCCGCCTTGCTCGCGGCCCGCAGCTGTCCGGCTTCCCCGCGCTCGGCCGGGCGGGCGCCCCAGTGCGCCGCGCCGCTGCCTGCGGGCTAGGACTTCGCGAGGTGGGTCGACTCCTCCTCCCTCCTCTTCTTCTTCCTCCTCTTCCTCCGCCTCCCGTTCCTCCTCCTCCTCCTCCTGATTTTCCCTCCTCGGCGGGCGAGGGTGGGGGGGGCGGGGGAGGCCGGGGCTCGCCCCGAGCAGCCACGATGCTCCTGGACGCCGGCCCCCAGTACCCCGCGATCGGCGTGACCACCTTTGGCGCGTCCCGCCACCACTCGGCGGGCGACGTGGCCGAGCGCGACGTGGGCCTGGGCATCAACCCGTTCGCAGACGGCATGGGTGCCTTCAAGCTCAACCCCAGCTCGCACGAGCTGGCCTCGGCTGGCCAGACGGCCTTCACGTCGCAGGCGCCCGGCTACGCGGCTGCTGCGGCCCTGGGCCACCACCATCACCCGGGCCACGTCGGCTCCTATTCGAGTGCAGCCTTCAACTCCACGCGGGACTTTCTGTTCCGCAACCGGGGTTTTGGTGACGCGGCGGCGGCGGCCAGCGCACAGCACAGCCTTTTCGCCGCTTCGGCCGGGGGCTTCGGGGGCCCACACGGTCACACGGACGCCGCGGGCCACCTCCTCTTCCCTGGCCTTCACGAGCAGGCGGCGGGCCACGCGTCGCCCAACGTGGTCAACGGGCAGATGAGGCTTGGCTTCTCGGGGGACATGTACCCGCGGCCCGAGCAGTACGGCCAGGTGACCAGCCCGCGTTCGGAGCACTATGCCGCGCCGCAGCTGCACGGCTATGGGCCCATGAACGTGAACATGGCCGCGCATCACGGCGCCGGCGCCTTCTTCCGTTACATGCGCCAGCCCATCAAGCAGGAGCTCATCTGCAAGTGGATCGAGCCGGAGCAGCTGGCCAACCCCAAAAAGTCGTGCAACAAAACTTTCAGCACCATGCACGAGCTGGTCACGCACGTCACCGTGGAGCACGTCGGCGGACCCGAGCAGAGTAACCACATCTGCTTCTGGGAGGAATGTCCGCGCGAGGGCAAGCCCTTCAAAGCCAAATACAAACTGGTCAACCACATCCGCGTGCACACGGGCGAGAAGCCCTTTCCCTGCCCCTTCCCCGGCTGCGGCAAGGTCTTCGCGCGTTCCGAGAACTTAAAGATCCACAAAAGGACGCACACAGGTAGGGAACCGCTGTTCTTGACCCCTTGCCCCATCCTGGGCCTGGGACCCGAAATCCGAAAGTCACGGCCCGGAGCGCGCAAACCCGGCCTTGGTTGGGTCTGCGCGTCAGCTTCAGCCGGCAGGCAGTGAAAGTGGCCGCTGGTTTCTAGTTTGAGGCTTGAAATTATGAAAAAGTATAGAGAGGCTCGGACGAGAAGGCTGTAGGGCTATAGACCTTAAAATGGGGACTGAAAAAAGGCCGGCGGAGCAGAGAGACAAACCCGGGTTTGCGGAGCCGGTGATGCGCGCGAAGCCGGGAGAGGCGGCCGGCTCCCGGCGGCGGCGGCGGAGGCCCCGGCAGCTCCAGCTGCAAACACATCTAAACGTTTGCTTCCGGCCAACATCCCTCACTGCACGCTTTAGTGAGGACTTTGCCAAAGGGAGGAACTGAGGAAATGGGAGGAGATCGGAAGAAGGGGCGCAGAAAGAAACAAAACCAGAAAAAGACAGGAAGGCGGGGTGGGGTGGTGAAAGCAAGTAAGCCGGGCCTGAGGAGGCTTTCGGAGGCTTATGCATATTTAAAGAGCCCAGTTTTAGTAGTGACTTGTTTGTGCGTAGTCTTGAGTCGGGAGAGTCGGTGGAAGACAGTGAAGTCCTTTTTGTCAATTAAATTCTGAGACGTGTTTTCAAAATAACCGAATACCCTGCGTTGGCCTTTAAAAATAAAGAGACCGGTAAGGAACAGTTAAAAAAAAGTTCGCGCCCAGCTCAGGACTGTAGTCTGGGTCGGGCAGGCCATCCTGGGCCGCTTGCTCCGACAAGGCCCGGAATCCGCTCCGCTTCCCTACTCTGGCGTGCCGGTGGCGTTTCTGAGAACCGCGTTTGGAACTCGGGGTTTAACGCCGGGAGTGAAGGAAGCGTTTGCGGCGCCGAGCTCTCGGCCCAGGTTACCTTATAAAATGTGAGTGTGTGTAGGGGGTGGGGGTGGGGGGAGGCGACGAAGGGGATGCGGAGCGTTGGGGAGGGGGGAGGGGGAGGAGAGAGGAGCAAAACAGCAGGAGAAGCAGCCTGCAATGTGAAAATTAGAAACCAAGGGCTAGGTAGACGCCGCTCCAAGTCGTCTCTCTAGCCCCGGGCAGAAAAAGCAGAGGCCAGACCTGCTGCTACTCTGGGATCTAAAAAACTACCACTGATACTAATAATAAAGTAATAAAATCTGGATCTAATTGGATTAGGAGTTAAAATAGTTCAGATATTTATAATTCCACTGCAGACACATGACTTTATCGAATACCCGGGTTTTTGAGCCTGCAAAGCGCTAACCCTGGGCCGCTGCCATTTTTATTTTAATTTTTTTCCACTTGTGTAAATTTTAAAAATCAGCCACGGGGTTTGTCTGATGGGACCTCTCGCTTTCTCGCCTTTCGCACCAGGGGAGAAGCCTTTCAAGTGTGAGTTCGAGGGCTGCGACCGACGCTTTGCCAACAGCAGCGACCGCAAGAAGCACATGCACGTGCATACGAGCGACAAGCCCTATCTTTGCAAGATGTGCGACAAGTCCTACACGCACCCCAGCTCGCTGCGCAAACACATGAAGGTAATCGCCGCGCTGTCGCCGCCCGCCTTGGCGCCGGGAGCCCGCTGCGCTCTGCGGCCGGGGCCGGGCGGTGGCGGGAGCCGGCGGAGGCGGAGAGGCGGCGGGTCGGCGCTGGCGAGCGGGCCGGGGGGAGAGGGCGGGGCGCAAAAGGGGACGCGGCCGCCGGCCGTTCTGAGTCTGCTGTTTGATGGTAAAAGTCCAGCCAAGCGAGCGCCGGAACCGCGGCCCGACCGAGCGCGCCCGGCTGGGGAGCGCCCAGGCGCCGCCATTGTGCGGGCCGCGTCGGGAGGCGGAGCGGGGCTCGCGCGCGCGCTGCCCGGGCCCTAAGCCGGCGCCCCGAGGGCCGCCCCGCCTCGGCCCAGACTGCAGCCTGCGCGGCCCGCGCCCTTCCCTCGAGGGGCGACTTCGGCGCCGCCCCTCCCGGGAGCACGGCCGCGGCGGGGCCGGCCGGCAGCTCGGGCCTCCGTGCGCGGGGCCTCCGCGCCCCCGGCGGCGCCGCCCGGCCCTCTCGCCCGTAAAAACGCCGCTCTATTCCCGCAGGTCCACGAATCCTCGTCGCAGGGCTCGCAGCCTTCGCCGGCCGCCAGCTCGGGCTACGAGTCGTCCACGCCGCCCACCATCGTGTCTCCGTCCACCGACAACCCGACCAGCAGCTCCCTGTCGCCGTCCTCCTCCGCGGTGCACCACACGGCCGGCCACGGCGCGCTCTCCTCCAACTTTAACGAATGGTACGTGTAAGTGGGAGCCGGCGCCGAACAAAGCCCTATTTAAGAGACTGCACGCGCGCGCACAGACCGTGCCCCGCGCCCCGGGGCCGCAGCAGCCCCGGCCCCCGCGATCCTAGTTTTTTTAAACCTGCCAATAGACCCAGAACCGAGTAAGAGAGAGAAAGCACCAGACCTTGACATTTTCTTCCTTTTTTCTTTCTTTTCTTTTTTTGGCAAAGGCTTGGTAGCCAAGGGGCGGGAGGGGGTCGAGGAGAAGGCGGCCGCCAGCCCCGAGGGCCGGTTTCTCGTCGGAATCGGAACGGGCGCTCTGGGCTTCGGCTTTTTGTGGTTTTTTTCTCTTGCTTTGCATTCTTGTAAATACAGAATTATTAGCTTAAAACTGTACTGTTGGATTCTGTAAATAGTTCTATCTCGGTTGGAGCGGGCGGGTGGGATGGTGGCGTTGTGGTCTTTGCATTGGGGGAGGGGGGAGGGGCCGGGCGGGAGGGGGGAGGGGGAGGGGGGTGGGCGGCCGAAAGCCAACTGTTTGTACTGAATGGCAAGAATGTTCTAGTAAATGTGTACCAAAATGTGAATTACTTTGTACGATTACAGTCTCCACGTCGACCTAACAGAATATTATTGGTATTAATGTGCTTTTTTTGTATAAAGTGCAAACATTTCGTCCCAAAGTCTAAGTACTTTAGTGCGGTAAAATGTCGTTTCACGTCCTGTCAAGAATTCGTATAGTACGAGCCTGGATCTGCGTGTCAAACTGTTCCATTTGTTTATGTAAAGTGATATTAAAAAAAGATATAAACTATAACTGTCCGTTGCTTTTGGCAAAAGATACAACCACATAATGTATATAATTCCTAGTTTCCATATTTATCCGCATGTAAAGGGCCGGTTTATTCATGTTACAGCTATTCAATATTTATGGCTAGAAGAACTCGTATGTACACTTTAGTTTCCAGAATTGTTTGGTAACCTTTCGTACCTTATTAAAGATTCTTAAATCTCAGTGATTGTGGTAGGAATTTCTTCTTCACCCCCAGCAACCTGCTGCCTCTTCTGCCAGCCTTAGTGGGTCTCGGGAAAGCCTTTCCAGACTCCCTCGCCTTCCCTTTCTGTCATCGCAGGTCGTATAAACGTGATAAATGAACGCTGCCCTGCTGGCTCTCTGAGAGGGTGTAATTAGTATTTATATCAAAATTTATGAAACAAATTTTCGGCCGCAATATAATTTAAATGACCTTTGCAGACGTAGAATAACAACCATAAAAATAACAGAAATAGATTGCACAGGCGACATCAATATTAATGGAGGCGAATTGTCAGAAGCTCAGGGGCTCGCTCTGCAGCGTTGCAAATGAACTTGCAGCCGAGGGTGCCGCTGCCCCCCAAATTAAATTGCCCGGGCTGAAACCGAGTTGCAGATTTACAATATCATATTTTAAATTGCTGTCTTCAATTAAACCATTTATGGCCATAACTAATTTTCAGGATGTCGATGCATGCTTTTCCAGGCCTTCCTTCTTTGTACGAAAGTAAACGTCCATAAAGCGTTTTACTTATATTTCTTCAAACGTGATGCTAATTTAAATTAATTACTTCCTGTGATATGTTATTATTCCTATAATTTTGCCACTGTTATTAGTTCTCTCAGAAATACATCTAGGGAAGAGAATTATTTTATGTAATTTGATTATCTTTCTATCTCTTTTATTTATTTCTCATTTACTTAAGAAATCCGTTCCATTGGCTGGCGTTGATACAGTAAATTTGTAAATGAGGAGACAATGTAAAAAATCTAAATTACTTGTGCTTAATGACTGTAGCAGAACGCCTTTTCTCTAAATCAGATTGTCTTTCTTGCAGTTTAGTTTGATAGATTTGCAAGCTATGTTGCTCCCTCGAAGTTAGCTGCGCTGGTAGGAACGCGCGCTTCTTTGTCTCTGGTTGTAGCTTGCATGATCGCCCCATTAAGCAGACAACGTAGCCGGAGATCACAAATCAGGGCCTTGGCTGGAGCTGCAGGCGTAGGGATGTGTCAGAGCAGGAGGCAGACACTGACCTCGCTGTGGGCAAGGAGGAACCCGACCTGCTTCTTTAACATAGTATGTGTGTTTGGGAAGTCACAGGCCATATTGATTCTGAGAAGGAAAACAAGAGGGAAAGCCCCTCAAAAGTATGAGAATCCCTTATAATAGTCACTTCTAGTTTACGGTGACATTAGTTTTTTAGAGTATACAGTTGACCAATTACAAGACCAAAATGTGAAATTCTCTTTGCAAGTTCTTTGTTGACTTGTCCTTTCATGTCTTGCTATTTGTATTTGTCGCTTTTAGTCAACAAAGTTGTCCTGGCTAAGGAGGGATTTGCTGCACATCAAAAGCTGAGATGGTAGTGTTTAACTTTTTAAAAATGTTATTGTGATTTTAAGAGTAAATATAGACCTTTCATGAAAAGAGCGCCACCTTGCAATGTTTGGGGAGATTTAAGGAAGTTGAACGCCTAAAAATTTATGAGACCAAAAGCTGGCCCCAGTTGGTTTTGGAGGTTTGAAATTGGTGAACAGTGTCATATTTGAAGTGACTCTGGACATTAGGCTTAATAATTAGCAAAAATAGAAAGAGGAATAAAGATAGCTCATCTCTCTAGGAAAGAAAGATAAACACCTCAGTTAATAATCCTTCCCCTTTCCACTAGAGATCAGGATGTCTGGGAGCCTGATATGAGTATGATAATGATAATCATCATAATAATAGCAACAGTACTTTTGTAACTTTGTTAGTGCATTTAGAAAGATAGTAAATGAGTGCATTTTTTCTTTGGCCATTCCTAAAAGCAGTTTACTTCAAATTTGAAATTATAAATGTCTTATTATTTATGTACCTGGTGTCTTTTTTTACTTTAATATCAAAGTATGCTTATTAAATATCATACTATGACATATGATTTATGTAAGATATTTTAAAGGTAAATTTTAGGGGTAAATATTTACTTCAAAACTACTTCATATTGGAATTTTTTTAGACTTTGATGACCAGATAATTTTTTAAAAAATCATTTGAGGAGTGCTGTGTGTGTTTGTGAATAATCTCACTCACAGAAAAGGAACTGTTATAGTAGAAGCAAATATTTATGCCAATCTCCCTTATGCATTCTCTTCTCCAACACCCACCACAAGGAAAAAGTCATTAATGACGTAGGTTGCCTAAAATAATGCTTCAAACTTCAATGTAGTCTATTATTTTCTGGTACCTTTAATGTCTGCTTCTTGAGATGTATTCTTCATACTTTTCTTCATGGGCTATTAGGTTTTGAAATACATGAATGTGAACAGCGAAATACATTGTTAGACCCTATTTAGCAGGAGCTGAAGATGCTGCAAATGGCTGGTTTCTGTCTGTAGCTGTGGATTTTGATTTAGGCAGAAAGGCGTCCTGGTTCGTATTTTGACTGCATTGTAGTCTGGTTACTATCAAATGATTAGAATAGCTAACAAGTTATTAAAAAGTTATATTGTGTCAACAAAAAAATGCCTGAGTACAAGCAATCATATTTGGGAAATGAAGAGAAATGAGTTGTGATATGTGTGTGTGTACATTTATACAGTAAGCATATAAATATACAAGCATCATTTTATGGGGGCTAAGTAATTTTCAAACATTTCAAATCCTTTGTTTTCTTCTTCAAAAGCTACCCCCAACTGCTTTAAGCATTTGCAGCTGATGATTTTGATTTTTTAAAGTCAAGCATTCAAGTTAACCTTTAGGAAGCAAACCACCTCCAAAAGAAAGATGTAACCTTTCAATTGCCCCATATGCTTATCATTTTTTTTTCTTTGGCTGACAATGAAATAGCACTAACCTTCTTTGCTGATGGGCCTGGCATTTAGATGTTTTTATTTGTTGATTGTGAAGTTTTCTCAGAACTTTTAAAGGGCTGGCAACAGAACTACACCTCCAAATACCTCATCCAGCCTCAAAACCTTCCAGACGGCCCCTTTTTGAGCCAAGATGTACCCGGTGTCTTGGATCCCTTGTGAATCAGTGCTGGTCGAGTTGGTACCTGAACATACTGCTTTCCAGGAAGCAGCTTGGAGAATGCTCTGGTCCTTAAACAGCAGCATCAGTTTAAGATGAATTGGAGAGTAACTCTATGTGGTCTGGCAAACTCAAAATGAGGGCACTGAGCTTGTGCCTTTGATTATTTGTGAACTAGGTATGAAGCCATCAGATTTTAGACATTGCTAACTTACATTTCTTTCTTTCCAACTCAAAATACTAATTACAAATTTATCTTCTCCTCTCTAGGTACAGAGTTCTCACCTCCTCCTAGCACCAAATGTAGTTCTTAGAACTATGTGTTCATATTGGGGAGGGGAAAGGTGTTGTTTTCACAGAGATGGTCACAGTTGATATCACTCTCTGGTTTTAGAATTCTTGAAAATAGAGTGGCATTGGAAAGATTTATCCTATCCATGCCAGTCAAGCCACTAAAGGTTCACATTACCCATGGTACTCTCTTTTTCAGCTCTTTTATCATCCCCTTCATCATCAGTAATATGTGCCCATTTAAACTGGTTGAATATAGAAAGTAAGGCTTTATGGGGATAACTATACAGTAATCTATTTTTTTCAAATGATAATCACTAGTTTGGGGCAAGAAATAAGAAAAATGTTAATAACTTCCTATAACATGTCACATTTGAGCCTTTCCCTCAAAGTTTATTGCAAATATAATGGCATAATATACACAAAATATGGGCAATGTTCTCCATTAATCTATGCAAGGCTGGCTCACACCACAGTCTCTCCCTGAGCAAGAGGAAACATGATCAGGCCAAACCAGGGGCTATTTTTACCATGCAAGCTGAACTCTAGCTTTAGTTCCTGACGTTTATTTCCACTTTAGAGCAAGGAGCTAAAAACAGTATGAAGTTTCCAATTGATACTATACTGGAGGTGGGTTTTTCAAGAATAGGAAATTGGATTTGGCTATCTAGTATGGAAATTACATTGTTTGGCAGTGAAGATGCTAGAGATTTGTGACTGTCAAATGTCCACTATTTTGCTGCCTCTGATGGTTGCGGGGCATCTCTGTAAGTATATGCAGGAGAATTCAGGGGTTGTGAAATTTACACAGTGATATTTTCACCTACAGCATACACAAGAATCAACTATTAAGCCGAGATATAAACGTACGGGAATCCTATCTTTAGAAAAACCCCAGATGTTCGAAGGCGAGCGACCTTAGCAAACCTTAAGGAAAAAAAGATCATTTTGCATCTGTCTTTTGTGCAACCATTCCCATTAAGCTACAGAAAACATAAAGACGTAAATGGGTGAGAGAAACTCACATCCTGATTCCTTTAAAAAATTTTTTCTACCTATCCGGGAAATTTCTAGCCGCTGGCAAAGAAAACTGAAAGTTGTGGAGGAAGGTAAAAC